CACACCGACTGGCTAAAATCTGGGGCTTATATAGGGCCAAATGGGCCTTTAGGCTAAAGGCGATGATTGCGGTGTTGGCACCCTGCTGTATAGGGTTCCATTGTATTTGGTGGTCTTAATCCGAGGAGCCAATATCCTGGGGGAATGTATGAGTAGGTGACACAATGCACCTTCCAATGGGTGGGGGGTGTGTGAGACTGGGTGGCACAATACATTCGAATGATTGGGATGATTCGATCAGGGGAAAATCCCATCAGCAACTCTCCTAGACTATCTGGGGCTATTCAGCGAGGATTAAGGGTGGTGGCCCATGCCCTGGGCGCAGAGGATTTTTGCCTCCAATTCCACTGCCAAAGTTCATCTGGAGGTCATCATGGAATTTCATATTTTGATACCGAAGGAACTATGGGTCATATTTGGATATTGAGGACTATGGGTAACACCCAAACATCTGCCATTTTGGCAGAAACGGGCTGTGACAGTCACTTGCATCCCTTTAAAATGCTGAAGAAATGGTGTCAGTGGGGCAAGGCTCGATGTGAGGAAAAAAGAGAGTCTGCAGGTTTAAATTCTAAATTTTAATTTTTAATTTTAAAAATTAAATTTTAAATTAAAATTATTAAAAATATAGTTTTTATCCTTTTAAAATTTTCTTTTAAAATATCATGTTATGAAATTTTCACTTTAACCATATGAAACTATGTACATGTAAATAAATATGATATTGTATGTTAATGTTACCATTTTAAATTTTGCTACTTGTTTATGTCACAACTGTTACCATTTTGTTGTTGTTGTGTGCCTTCAAGTCATTTCTGACTTATGGATGCTCCTTGTGGTCTCTTCCAACTCTATGAGTCTATTCTATGATTCTATGATTCTATCCTGGAGTTTTCTTGTCAAGATTAGTTCACAGGAGGTTTGTCATTGCCTTCTCCTGAGGCTGAGAAAGTGTGATCTGCCCAAGGTCACCCATTGGGTTTCATGGCCAAGCTAGGAATCGAACCCTGGTCTCTAGAGTAGTAGTCCAACCCTTGAACCACTATGCCACTCTACATTTAGTGATAATTTATGAGTAACATTAGTAAAAAAAACATTACTAAGTGTTCTATATGGTGTGGTATGGGAGGCGGTCAGTGGTGGAGTGACACCATGAATTACTACTGCACAGGATGACACCAACCCTAGTGATGCCACTGTGCCATAACACAAAAGATGTATTCTTTTGACAGCACTCCACTTGGAGATGTGCATACAGCAGCACTGTGCAACATTGGGCATTGTGTTCATGCACTGTGCCTTGCATTTGTGCATTATAGCTGCACATTGCATATTGCCCAATGGGACCCATAACTGACATTTGTTGCACAAAGTCACTATTCTGCATGTGAGTTGTGTAGTGCTAGCATGGATATTTATGCTGCATTGAGACTATGTTGGATTGCATTGTATGCAGGGTTAGCAAGATTGCCCCATTAAAGAAACAAAAACTGGGGAGCATCCAGCAAAATCCATAGAGCTAGAGATGCAAGGGTTTTTCTACCAATCAATAACAATCTGTAGAGCATCTTGAAATGTTCCTTCCCATTAATGTTGTCCTACATGTCCCCACCCTTGCTTTATTCCAGTCACCTCTCTCCTCCTCCCTTCCACACTACTAAGCAACAACAGCAGGGAACTCTCCCAGGCCTTAACAGATGTTGGATGTTTGAAGGATGTGGAACAATGCAGATCTATGCACATATCTTGGCCATTATCTCTCCATAGATATTATATCCCCTAGGGTCCTATCTTCTTCTAAAGATGCATTCCTTGTGCTTACAAGACACTTAGTACTTGTAGGGGTTTTCAGTGGTAAGGAACATCAAATGATACAAGATCTTTAGAATATGAGCATCATGCAATTCATATTTCATCTCACATATTCATCAGCAACACTGTATAACAGGGATGGGGAAAGTGTTGCTCACGGGTTGCATGTGGCTCCCCAGCCATTTTAAAGCTTTCCATAGGTCCCAGACATTTTCTGCTCCCATTATTTGCAATTTTAAAAAACAAAAAAGTGCCCCCATGCCAATGTTGCCATGTTTCAAGGCCTCTTGGGCTGTTTTAAGCTCAGGAGAGACTTTTCCCCCCAAACAGGACATATGCTTTTCATCCAAGAAATAAAATTGGGTGTTTGGTGGGAGGTGGAGCAGACCTCCAAGGTCCAGTGTGAAGCCAATGGGGCTCCTCACCTTTCAACAATCCCCCCTTCATTATGCAAGATAAAACCAACAAAGATTCTAGTAGCCCTCTAATGATTAACAAGTTACCGTTACGTTAAATAATACTTGCTAGTCATTAAGGTGCCACTAGACACTACGAGAGTTTCCCCCACTGAGAAAAAGGGTTAGTAAATTTTCGCCCAACTGTTCCTGCCCTGTTTTGCCCACACACATCCTTCTCGGGATGCTCTTTGGATAACAGCAGTCACACATGTACACATTTATTTGAATTGCCTGGTAGAATTTGGTCCATACTATTTATTTTCAGTGACAAATGATCTAGTATCTATCTATTGAGGGGGCCAGTATGGTGTAGTGGTTTGAGTGTTGGAGTAGGACACTGGGGGATCAGGGTTTGAACCCCAGCTCTGCCATGGAAGCCCACTTGGGCAAGTCACACACTCTCAGCCTAAGAGGATGGCAATGGCCAACCCCCTCTAAAGGAACTTGCCAAGAAAACCTTATGATAGGTTCGCCTTAGGGCCACCATAATTCACCACACCACACAACAACAACAACAATCTTTCTATCATTGACAATTCCTACACTTCCAGGAGCAAGAGGGTTCCAACATAGAGGTCCTTACAATTATAGGCCACGAGATGTCAGTATCTCTTAAGGATCAGGATTGGAAGTAGCTCTTTCTCCTCTGAGTGCTGTGAATGTTTCAGTAGAAAACCCGAAACCACATTGCATCTACCCTTCACCTGGTTTCAGATTTCCTCATGGAGTGGAAAATTAATTGGTCAGGCTTACCACATTGCTCCCAAACCTTGTGGCTGAAATACAAGCAAATATTGCTGAGTATGGTTACAAACAGTGTGGAAGCTGGCATTTTAAAGGAAGCATTTTTAAGACTGATAAGTTTAGTATCTGAGGCTGCATCTGCACTGCAGAAATAATGCAATTTGATACTGCTTTAACTGCCATGGCTCAATGCTGTGGAATTCTGCGATTTGTAGTTTTGTGTGATATATAGCCTTCTGTTAGAGAGCTCTGGTGCCACAACAAATTACAAATCCTAGGGTTCCATAACATAGGGCCATGGCAGTCAAACTGCATTATTTATGCAGTTCAGATGCAGCTCCAATTTTGTTACAAGGTTGAGGACCAGCCTTTAAACCTGCAATTTTTTGGAGGTTCTGAGAAATGGTAATAATAAATACCTGCATAAACTTTCCATTCAGAAACCAGGATAGATATTTATGGAATAGCCAAATGATAGTACAGCATCTTCACAATTCAGTAACATGATTTCTTTGTGCCTCTGATGTGGAGCATCTCAGGCCATTTATTTGTTAATTTGGCTTATATCCTACATTTTTCCAAGAGGTGGATAGTGTTGATTTGGCTGCAAGAGTCCTAGATACTGCAAATACTTTAAGTAATGAAAACCAGGACTTGGTGGGGATCACTTGTTCAGACTATGGCTCTCCAAATACCTCAGTCAGCATGGCCACCAGTCCTGCTGGCTGGGGGATTTTGAGAGCTGTAGTCCAGGCATGCAACTTTTTCAAGCTCTGATCTAGATGAAGAGCGCTCTTAAAACACCAGAATGCAAGAGACAGCTGCACTGCATGTAGGTGTCTAGGTTCAGGAAGCTGAGTTTCTCTTGGATATGATATACTAACTTTTTCTGTCATTGTTCTCTTTTCACAGGAACAATTCATTTTTATTCACCAGTGTGTGCAATTAATGTGGTTAAAGAAGAAGCAGCAGTTCTGTATCAGCGATGTCATATACGAAAATGTCAGCAAGTCGTAATTCCAAATGATGGGTGGTAAGTTAAGAAAGCCTTCCAAGGCCCCCATGGTGCAGTTTGACAAGGCTGATGCTCACACCAGAGCAGCTCCTGTCTTCAGTATGAACACAGAGGCATTTATTGATTGTAACATACTTCCTAGCCAGGTACTCTGAGCCAACTAGCATGTGACGGCAGGAATCTTCATGCTTGGCTCTTGCCCATGGTTGCATGGATGGGCAACTTCAGTGGATCAAATGGCAAATTTCTCTCCATTGAATTCTCCAGCCCCACCCAAAATGCTATAAAATCCACCCAACCCAATAAAACAAAACAAATCAGAAATGGTCAGTCAGTTTCATGTGTTGATTTTAAACAATGGAGGGGAACTTGGAACCAATTTGAAAAATGAATTTCCATTTCTGAAGGCTTCCAGGAGACACAGTTCTACCCTTTGCTGCCAGAAATGCATAGAGCAGGGAGCTGGAGGTCTACCAAGGCCTTTAGAAACAGCCACAGGGCCACACTTATCACAACTTGTTCCAGCTGTAAGTGACAAATTAGGGAGACTGCACCAACTGAAAGCTGTAGTGCAGCCTTCATGCCCATTGGCTGTATGAAAAGAGACTTCAGGACTGGTTTTAGGTCCTATCCCCTTGCCTTTTCACTTCCTGTGTATAGAAGTGATACTTTTCTAATGAGGTTCTACATGTACACAGGTGAATAGGGCCATTTAGTTTAAGTTTATCATTTAAGGCAGTGGTAGGCAATTTGATATTTTGGACAGAGCCCAAAAGTTACTTTTTGGACTACATTTCCTGGAGTCCCATAGCTGGGAGGGGGGCAGTACTCTGAAAAAGTGACTTTCCCAAATTTTGGTTATAGCCCCCGGCTCTTACAATTACTCCCCATTGTCAGTGCTGCCAAAGGCCAGTGGAAGTTCACCACTAATAATCCAACAATATATTCTAATGATAAACAATGCAGAATATCAACAGGAAAAAAGGGGGAAAGGAATCAGAAGATGTTCTCCCAGAGCAGTACCAAACAGGAAACTTGTTGTCTGTCCCATCAAAAGCTGATTTTTGACATCTGAAATGCCCCAAACTTGCTTCTCGTAGTAGCTGCAACTGCCCTTGCCAGGAAAAAAGCAGTTTCCTGTGGAGAAAATTCTGTGACAGGGAAATTCTGCACAAAAGTCATACGGGGTAACTTGCATAGAAGACATCATTTTCTGCACATGAAATAATATTTCTAGAGAGGAATATCATTTTAGTTCAAAAAATGCTACTTCCTATGCAGAAAATGCTGTTTTCTGTGCAAACGAACCACATATAATTTTTTTTTGCAGAATATGTTCTGAATTGTAAATAAGCTTTGAAAACCATACAGTTGGCAAAGTATGACATCCCTACCATCAGTGCAGATCAGCCAGTTTGCATCCTTGTCTCAAAATGCAATTGAAAGCATACCCAGATTGCCTTCTACCATCAGAGCAGGGAAGGGTGATAAAGACTATGTGCCCTCTACCCTCTGGGCTTCAGATATGCATTTGTAGGCCCAAAGATGCACACATAGATCTGTTTGCAAGCCTTTTTTGGGAGAAAGCTATAAGATTAGCTTTCAACTGAAGCATTTTGAAATCTGTTTGGACCAGGGGTAGGCAACCTAAGGCCCGGGGGCCGGATGCGGCC